TTTTAGTAGAGACGGGGTTTCACCATGCTGACCAGGATGGTCTCGATCTCTTTGACCTCGTGATCCACCCGCCTCGGCCTCCCAAAGTGCTGGGATTACAGGCTTGAGCCACCGCGCCCGGCCTCTAAAAAGTTAAACATGCACTTATCATATGTTAGAGTCACTCAACTCCTAAATGTTTATCCAAGAGAATAAAAGCATATGTTCACACAATGTCCTCCAAGGTTTTTAGCAGCTTTATTTGTATTAGCTAAAAACTGGAAACAGCACAAATGTCATCATCAGGTAACTAGATAAACAAATTATTGTACAGCCATATGATAGAATTCTATTCAAAAATAAATGGAAATTAACAGTAAAACTAATGTTTTAATCTCAAAGCAATTACGCTGAGTGAAAAAGTCATACCAAAAATAGAGAACATACTATATGGTTCCATATATATCAAATTCTATGGAGGGCAAACTAACCCATAGTGACAAAGCAGGTGAGTGGTTGCTTGTGAGGAATGAGGTTGACAGCTAGATTACAAAGAGACAAAAAGAGATTTTTTTTTGGTATGTTCATTATCTTGATTGTGATGATGATTTCATTGGTTTTTAAATAAATGTCAGAGCTCATCAAATTGTACATCTCGAATATATGAAGTTTATTATATGCCAATTATATCTCATTAAAACTGTTAAGAAAAGATTTTTACATCAAAAAATATTTTTAAAGATGCCCTTCTAATTGGAACTTTAAAATAAGATATTGTTAAACAATTGAGTGATAATTAAAATACAAACAAGAATTAAAGGATTCTGAAAAAAAGGATAATTAAACCACTATAAATATCCCATCTATAAGATATATTTAAAACAGTAATCAGAGGATAATGTATGGCTATAAACACTGTATCTCGAAACATAGAAAAATGAAACTGACTTAATTCAAAAATATATAATGTCCCCTAAAAATCACAAGAAAGAAGTATAACAACTGTACATTATATGTACCTAACAACAGAGGCCCCAAATACATGAAGTAACAACTGTTAAGTTGAAGGGAGAAATAGACAATTCAACAATAATACTTGGATATCTCAGTATATCACTTTTAATAATAGCTAGAATAACTAGAGAGGAGATGATAAAGAAAATAGAAGACTTGAGCAATACCATAAAATAACTGGATCTAATAGACATCTATAAAACACTCAATTGAACAGCATATGTTCTTCTCAAATTCACGTGGAACATTGTCCAGTATAGATCATAAGTTTGGCAACAAAAGAAGTCTTAGTAAGTATAAAAAATAAAATTATAAAAAGTATCTTCTTCAATCACAATGGAACAAAATTAGAAATCAATAGTAGGAGGAAATTTGGAAAATTCACAAATACGTAGAAATCAAATTCTTAACCAATCTAATGGCTCAAATAGTAAACCATAAGAGATACTTGAAAATTCTCTGATATAAATGAAAACAAAACCAAAGCATACCAAAATGCATGAGATACAACAAAAGCAGTATTTAGACGGAAATTTTTTCATTGCAGACATCCACATTAAAAAGAATAAATATCTCAAAGGAATAACCTAATTATATAATGAACTAGAAAAAAGAACAAGCTAAATTCAAAGCAAACATAAGAAAGGAAATAAAAGAGTACAGTGTAAATAAATGACATTGAGAAAAGAAAAACAACAGAGAAAATGAACAAGCACAAAAGTTGTTTTTTTAAAAAAATAATCAACAAAATAAATGAAATAAAAACTTCACACTTGCCAAGAGAAAAAAGAGGACTCAAATTACTAAAATCAGTAAGGAAAGAACATTACAATTGACCTTACAGAAATAAATGGGGTTATAAAGAAATAATATGAACAATTATATACCAATAACTTACATAACCTAAATGAAATAGACAAATTCCTAGGAAGACACAAACTACCGACTTGACTTATGAGTACATACAAGCATAGACACATAGCTCAATGGAATCAAATTTAGGGTCCAGAAATAAACTCATATACTTACGGTTAATTGATTTTCACCAAAGGTCTGAGACCATTCAGTAGAGAAAGAATACTATTTTCAACAAATAGTGCTGGAAGACAGCTGGATAAGCACGTGTAAAAGAACCAATTTGGATCTCTACTCACAACATGTACAAAAATTAGTTAAAAATCATAAAGATGAACTATAAGTGCTAAAACTATAACTCTTATTAAAAAAAGAAACAAATCTTCATAATCTTGGATTTGGCAATAGATCCTTAGATAGGATACCAAAAACAAGCAACAAAAGGAAAAGAAATACATTGAACTTTGTCAAAATTGAAAACTTTTGTGCATCAAACATCATCAAGAAAGTGGAAAAAACAACCAACAAACTGAGAGAAATTATTTTCTAATCATATACCCTGTGAGAAACTTCCTATGAACTAAATACTTCCCCCAAATTCACAAGGCAGAGTCCTTATGAATGGGATTAACACTCTTACAAAAGATGCCTGAGAGAACTCCCTTGCCCCTTCCACCACATAACCTAAGTATATACTTAAATAAAGTATATAGGAAACACTGCAAGATGGCCACATATGAACCAGGAAGTAGGCCTTCACTGGACACTGAATCTGCTGGCACCTTGATCTTTAACTTCCCAGTCTCCAAAACAGTGAGAAATATATTTCTGCTGTTTCTAAGCCATCCAGTCTATGGCACTTTGTTACAGCATCACAAACAGACAAAGCCAGGTCTAGGACTGTGAATATATAAAGAACTCTTGAAATTCAACAACAAAAAGATACACAAACTAAATTTTTTTAAAATTGTCAAAGGACTAGAACAGATATTTCTCTTAAAAGACATACCAAGAAGATATAATCAATAAATACATAAAAGGATATCCAAAATCTTTAGTAATTAGAGAAATGCAAATTAAAACCATAATGAGATAACACTACTTCACACCTACTAGGATAGCTATAATTTAACAATCACAACAAAAAGAAAACAAGTGTTGACAAGTATGTGGAGAGATCAGAACCCTTATATGTTGCTGGTAGGAACATAAAATGGTTCAGCCACTGTGGGAAGCATTTTGGCAGTTCCTCAAAAACCTAAATATAGGATTATCACATGATCTATCAATGCCACTCCTAGATACATATCCAACACAACTGGAAACATGTCCAAACAAAAACATGTGTACACAATATCCATAGCAGAATCATTCCTAACAGTCAAAAAGTAGAAACAATCCAAATGTTCATCAACTAGATACACAATATATGGTATATCCACACAATGGAATATAAGCCTTAAAAATAATGAAGTATTGACACAGGCTATGATATGCATGAACCTTGAAAACATTATGCAAAGTGAAAAAAGCTAAACACAAAAGGTTAAGTACTGTATGATTCCATTGATATGAAATGTCCAGAATAGGCAACTCCATTGAAACAGAAATCCAATTAGAGGCTGAAGGGAGGGCAGAACAAGGAGTGGCTGCTTAATGAATGTGTCTGTCTGTTCTAGCACTGCTATAAAGAAATACTTGCGACTGGGTGATTTATAAAGAGAAGTTTCTGCTGCACACCAGCCTGGGCAACAGGATGAAATGTTGACTCAAAAAAAAAAAAAAAAAAAAAAAAAAAAGGTTTAATTGGCTCACGGTTCCACAGCCTATACAGGAAGCATACATAGAAGCTTCTGCTTCTGAGATGCCTCAGGACACTTAACAGTTATGGTAGAAGGCAAAGGGGGAGAAAACACTTCACATGGCCAGAGCAGGAGGAAAGGGAGGAGGGATGTGCCACACACTTTTAAACAACCAGATCTCAGGAGAATTCATTATGGCCGTGACAGCATCAAGGAGGATGGTATTAAACCATGAGAAACCGCCCCTATGATCCAGTCACCTCCCACTAGGCCCCACTTCCAACTCTGGAGATTATTATTTGACATGAGATTTGGGCAGGGACACAGATCCAAACCATATCAATGTGTATGGAGCTTGTTTGGCAGGGGTGACAAAAATATTCTGGAATAGGGTTAGTGATAAGGCTTGCACAATTTTATGAATGCACTGAAAGCCACTAAATTGTACACTTAATACTGTGAATTCTATGGTATATTAATGTTATATCAATTTTTAAAAAAGGGATACGGGAGGCACATTGGAACTTTTCAGGACAAGATCTTTCAAAACACTTGCCCAATAAATATGAATATATGAGCATCCCCCAAATGGCCTTTAAGACATTCTTCTCATTGGCTAAGAGCATTCTCATCTGCTCAGCAGCAGTCTCCTATTGGCTGGACCCTTGATGCTGAGGCTTGGAGGCAGAGCCTGGGTCTTCTAGGCACTGCAGGTAAGTCAGGGGAAGGAAAGCAGGGGGTTTTAGCAAACCCTCCAGTTAGGGGTCTGAGTCCCCAAGAGCTGACTGAGTCTGTTCAAGCATTTCTCTCTAGTGCCAGGCCTTTGGTTGGTGTAAAAAGGTCAGAGGTTGGCATTGGGGAGTCTTAATTTGCAGTCTTCCTCTTAACTCTCGTGAGGCCTCAAAACAAGTACCTTCTAGGGTGGTGCTTTCCACTGGGGTAAAGTTAAAAGACTCCAGGATCACAGGCACCCAGGGTTCAATGGCCTGGTAGATAGAGAGCAGGAGGCAGTACCAGCACAGCTGGAACTCCTTTGGGCCTGTTCCCTCAGAAACCAGGGGATGGCTGACCTAAATTCTGGAAGGCCCCACCTCCCATAGCCCCAACACGCAGTGCTCATGATCAGTAACTTTCCTCCAAGCCCCCCCACCCACTGTCCCTATCTGCGTGGACTCCAGGAGCCCCTGCCCAGGAAGGCCGGTCTGGGACCAATCAGAAGCTGTAGGACTTTCTGGAAGGCCCAGGGCGCCTCCCTGAGTGTGGCAGAGCCTTCTGATTGGAGGAGGCCTGCCGGGAGGGTGGGGCGATGGGCGTGGCTAACAGAATAACCGCCGGAGCCAGACCCGTTGGCCGGTTAGTTAACGACCTCCACCTGTTCCTGCAGGACGCCTCCACCCTGATGACTCCTGGACAGACTGATTTAGGGGTGCTCCCCAGGAAGGTTAGAACTGCTGAATGAATGAGGAAGAACCTCTGACGCCCAGGAGGGCACGCTTTCACTTACCTGGCAGGGTGGTTTCTGACGTTTTCCTGCGGAAGGCTGCCCAGGGCCGCTGCCGCCCATCCTCCCCTAGGTGTGGAGCTTCTGGACCGGCGGGGGCGGGACCGGCCTGCGGCAGCCGCCCGGAACCCTCGTGGGCCTCTTCCCCCGCTTGGCTGCAGCTGCAGTCTGGTACTTGTCCATTCTGCTCTTCTTCACCTCGGTATTTTCTCCCTCGTGGAAGAAGAACTCCATTCCCCCATCCATGGAGGAGTGTGTCCTGCATGCCACGAAAGAGCCCAGGACCCAAAGGACAAAGACGTGTCCGGCAGACCTGCCCTCGCCAGCGCTAACCCAGGTCTGAAATCTCCGGAGTGCGCGGCCCAGACCCGCTCCTCCCAGGCATGGCTCTGTTTCCGAGTGGGTATTTTCCACCTGGGCTCTCACCACCCGCTTGCTCCTATTTCTCCCCTCCCTCCCTATGGTGACGAGTGAAGGCTTGGGGAGGTTGGAACCCACACCGTGGATCAGAAGGGCCCCTTGTCCAGTCCCCGGTCTTCCATCTAAGCCGTGCGATCGTGGGAAGGACACCTCACCCTTGGTGGGCACGCCCACTCACCTGGAGAGAGACGCAGTGATAATGCCCTAATCCAGAATTCTTAGGAGAATGGGAGTAATTATGCAGACATCTTTTGAAAACCGATGTGCTGCCAATTACATTTTGTGATTTTAACTTTGTCTTGTTTCTGTGCTGCGTGTTGTCTTCGTATCAAGTTTCTTCTGTTTTTTTTTTTTTTTTTTTTTTTTTTTTTCTTTTATAGAATGATCATTATCCATAATGAAGCTACAAGGAAGTGGAGGAAGGCAGTCTGCGTGCACCACCATTTTCTAGGAACTGGGAAGGCAGCCCTTAGAAAGATCCATCCCTGTGGAACCCTTTCCAGGCTTACCTGCCTTTGCTGAGCTGGAGCTATTTGGACTAGTATCTAACAGCAGGACTTCGACATTGGGTCTCCACACTTGCACCTTGTTCCCATCAAAATATCCAGTACTCTGCCTTCAGGGAGGAGACATAACCCTCACACAACAAGAAAAAGTCTAACCTTCCCAGGTCTACGTTCCCTGGGGGGTCAAGGTTCCTATGCGTCCTTAGTAGAGAGGACTAGCTGTGAGTTGGAATCCCACTATGAGCTTTAGAATCAGTCAAGAGGAAGTGGGCCCCTTCCCTTCATCCCTCTACTTTTCCCTTGTTGTCCCAGAGCTCAGCTCTGACTCAAAAGTTTTTCCAATTACCATCAACATAGAAACTTGGCTCCCCACACGGGTCTAATTTCCCCTATTGCACATGGCCGTGTTTATCAAAACTCCCTTTCTGTGAAACAGGCCTCTGGGGCTCAAGAAACCTGGTCAGCCAGCCAGGCTAGTCCCACATACCTCAGGATAGAGTGGACCAGTCTAATAAAGGCTCTATGCCATTCTTTTCTGCTTAAGCTGACTGGTGTGCTGATTCAGAAGACCCTGATCTTTTATTCTTTCCCCCAAACCAGTTCAATTGGTGTTTGTGCTAGAGGGAGATGAACAATGGGGAGGGCTGTTAGAAGGGATGTCCTTGGCCCTCCCACCTCCTCCTTTGAATGATACCCTCATTATCTTAGGCAGGGACCTGATACCGGTTGGTTTAGTAGATAACCTGGCGGTTTACTATGAGCATTTACCTTGTATTACGGCAAGGACTAAAGGAACAAATGTATCCACCTCAATGTCAGGTCAAATGGGAGGATGTGGATGGGAGTAAATAGTGATTAGTATTGAGGTCCTAGAATTTTATTGGTTACTATTTTTATACCTTTTATACTCTTTCAGTTCTTGAATGAAGGTAAATGGAGACTTATTAAGGAAGAAATTACTAGTGGCAGGGTGGTGGTGTCCTGGTGTCCTGCTTAGAGTGTGAAGAGGGTGTGCCCCATCACTGGCCTATGCTGTGCACCTGGGAGGTGGTAAGCAACTGTCCTGGACTGCACAACTGGGAATGAAATTCATAGCAGAATGCAACATTCATTTACTGGGGCCTCACACTTGGCCAGGGTCCCTGTGCCTTTTCCTCTTTTTCCTTCCAGTCGATGTGTCATAGAGACCAGACTTGATTTGGCAAGAGAACAATGGACATTTAAGATTTCCTAAAGATTTCTCAGCAAGGACCCTGGCTGGCTGTTTTTCTACCCTAGTGGTGATCACAGCAGATACTGGCCGTTTTCTGTTATGACTCTGGGGTCTTTTAAGGAGCAGGAATGGTGGAGTATGTGCAGACCTGGAGCCACGATCAAGTGCTACGCTCCTTGAAGCACAAGGCATGAGAATGCTTTATCATGTTTTCTCTTCCTTGGAGGATTTATGAATTAAAACTAAGGAATAATTTGTAATCAGAATAACACTACCTGACAGGGATATTGATGAGCCAAGGAGGGCTTATTTGGAGATTTCTGGTGTTTTCCAGCTCTGAGATTCCAGACCTAATATCCATGTAATGGTCATTAATATATTGTAATTTATAACAGTTTTATCAGTGATCTATTACATTAATCACCATGAGTTGGTGACTTTTCAAATCCTACAGGTTATTTAACTACATAGAGCTATTTAATTTACAAACACAGTACTCTTTGAGGTAGATACCAGAACCATTTTACACTTGAGGATATTGAAACCAGGAAGGAAAAAGACTCAACTCTTGAAGGAATGGACATGGGGTGCCCTTGCCTTCCTTGCGGGGAGAGCCACCTATTCTGTGCAGCTGGAGTTAGGGCCTGCCACCCTACTCCTCCTCTCTATCCAACCGCCACACTTTAGAAACAAAAAAGCAGCAGTGATGTGGGAATTATTTAGTGCTTAGTTTGAAAGGAAAATTTTTAAGAACCTTAAGAGCAACCTTTTATTTCTTACCATATAAGGCACTGGGACAGGCACCGAGAAGTCACTAAATATCATTTGCCCAATGCATTTTTTCATGGCTTCTACTTTTTAACGTTAGGCTCACTTTTTTAACCTCATTGCTCACATGTTATGATTCCTTCCAGAAAATTCACTGAAATTCTAATATCCCTTGGTGTTCCTTAGGCAACTTAGGAGTAACTCTAGTTATTGATTACCCAGTGCTTCCCCTAACTAGTTGTATGACTTTGAGCAGGCTGCTTAACTTCTGTGTGTCTCAGTTTTCTCAGCTGTGAAATGAATGATCCAATCCCTATGTCAGAAGGATGGGTGCGGCTCATGAGGAATCACACACATGAGAAATCTGGGATGCTTACCACAGTGTTTGGTAAATAACATGAGTTTCCTCTTCCCTGTTTGAACAGTCCTTTATATTCTGCTGAGAACTTTCCCATTCATGCTGCATCACGACCCAAAGGGGAAAGAATCCTGAGTCCTGTGCTCATGACTTCTCTCTCCTCTAACTGGTTCAGGGTCAATCCAGATTCCATGATACTTTATGAAAGACCCACACCCTTCTGTGCAACAGCCTTCTTCCCAAGCATACTTGATATGTCTGATTAACAATCTGATTAACACTCTGGGACAGTCTGGAAGGGTTAGGTCTCATTACCCTCATCCATTCTCCACCATTTAGTCTCCAAGCCATTCCCTGGAAGAGACAAGTGGACCTTGTTCAAATGGATCCTGGAAAAGATGAACGGGGCTGTGCCCTGAGACCTCCAATATTCATGGAGAAGCAAGTCCTTTCTTCCTTCTCCAGGCCTTGAAAGGTCGAGATTTCCCAATGTGCCTCTATTCTTATGTGGGGGATGGGAGTCTTTGCCTTCATACAGGAAGTAACTAGAGACTCAAAGCAGATAGGACAAACACAAATCTTGAAAATGACCATGACTCCTAGTTGGTCCCTACTTGCCCCCTGGTTTCACTAGGTAGAGAATCACTCCAGGTAGAACACACTACTCCCACCCCAGTGGGTGGGCTGGGCCAATAGCCGGGACCTGGACAGCTGTGTCCTCTCAACCAGACTCTGCCATGCCCCGCTCTTTCCTACTTATCCTTATCTAGATCCCTCTTACTCCTCCTTTCCTGCTTAGGTTACAATGGACAATAATCTCTAACCCCTGTCCCAGCTAGATTGGCACTGGAGAGCTGAGAGAGCCTCGTGTTCATGGAGAATTCTGGGAGAGCTCCTCTTTTCAGCCCCCTCTCAACCCTCCAGGGTCCTGTGCCCTTGGCTACCTCTACAGGCTTGACTCTCCTCCCATGTGCATGGACATTATCTTTCCGAGCTCTGGGCTGCCTTCTTAGGCTCACGTTTTTCCCTCTTTGCTGCTGTGGCAGCCAGATATCACTGTAATGCCTGAGTGCGGGGGTGTGGTATGTAGGGAACTCCAGTTCTGGGGTCAGAAGATTAAAAGTTTGAGACCTACTTCTATCCCATAAGCACTATAAAAACTAAGCCAAAAAAACCAACTTTGATCCTCAGTTTGGAAACATTTGTAACATGGGAAGATCAGACTTTTGATAAAGAATACGATTATTCATGCTTAAGAAATGTTTGGAATGCTGAGATGGTATAGAATCTTTTTGACTGTGCTGCTGACATTGTATACCTCTACATATAAATGTCTCCAGTTTTGTTTCTGTTCCACCATTCTGCAGACAAAGCTCAATGCAGGCAGGGAAGGAACCCTCACTGACCACTCCTGGAATCAGGTGCTCTTGTCTGAGCCCCTTCATCTTTAGTTTAGGGTAGAAAGCACAGATAGAACCCTTCTATAGTTTTCTCATGTCTGGCACAAACCCTCATTTTCTGTAACCTCAGAAAGGAAGGAAGACCTTAAAAAGCCACAAGAAAATTCTATGCCTCTGCTTCCCTTACAAGTCAAAGCTGAGCTAGCCCAAAGCAGTTTGCATGATTTCTCAGAAAGTGGAATCTCACCAGGACTCTTAAAAGCACAAAGACCAAGGAAGAATTGGGCTTCTGCACCATATCACTGTTGAGGTCCTCCGTGCCTGCTTCCAGATCTCTGGAATGACCCACAGTCTTCTCTGTTTAAACACAGAATCCAACCTCTTCAGTCACCCCAGCCCCAATATGTCCTGGCACACTCCGGCTCTCCCCAAACAAACTGTGAAGCATTAGCCCTACCCAAGGAGGGCTAATGTCCAGCCATGCACACTTTAACAAACCCTCTCTGACCTTAGGATGAAACCATTTCTCTAATATCTTTTCTTCACCCTAATTGGGACTAGTGTGTTGATTCAGAAGATCAAATTGGGAATTAATTTCCATCTCCCTACCTAAAGCAAATGGATGGTCTTCGGGCTAGAGGGTGCCCAGGTATTAAAGGGAGGCAGGGAGGGCTGGTCAATGGGCTGCCATCCCATCACCCCTTGGGAAGAGCTTGCCTTCCATCTCAAGTGGAGAGACTCTGGCCCACTCTCAGCCTTCTCATCAGAGCCAGACTCTGATTTTCCTGGCACCTGGCAGACTTCCCATCCCAGAAGGGAAACAGTGGGAGGTGTTTAGTGGCAGCATTTGTGTCATTCCAGAGTCCTGGTGTTAGATTTTGACTGTTGGGCCAATCCTGGGAGAAAGATGAAGGGTGGACAGGATTAGGGAACCAATGAGGGGCAGGCTGGCCATCCTCAGCTCAGCAGTGAGGTCTAGAATTCTCCAGGTGCTTCCAGCTACTATTGGGACTGTCGTGTATGTCAGAACATACAGGGCATCAGGGGCTGCAGAGGTTACCATGTGCTCTCTGCCCCTTCCCTGCCTCCTTTCTTTACTGCAAATCACGGAGACAAGTGCTGATTTGGCAAAGGAATAATTAACTGCCCAAGATTTTTCCAGCTGGGTCCCAGGCTCTGTACCTAGTTTTTTAAAACACTATTTTGACTATAGTAGTCTTTGGGAGCTGCTTGATGTCTGGGCTCTGGATTTCCCACGAAGTCAAGAATGATGGATTCACAAGGGCCCACCAGGAATATGGAGCCATAAGCCTCAGGCCTTGGTCAGATTAGAGCACAGAGAGCCACTCCCTGCCTTGGGTAAAATCTGAAATTCAATATGCATAATTTTGCTTGTAATAAGATTAATAAGAGCTTGTATGGATATTGAACAGGGGATCCTGATACCCATTGAGGGAGGCTGGAGTAGACGACCTCTGATAGCTTTTGCTAGCTTTGAGAGTCTTTGAGCT